ATTGGCTTCAAGAACCTGGATCAAATTGTCACAGGGCAACAATGGTCTCAGAAGACTTTTTAAACGAATTGTGAACTCTAGTAAGTCTCTGGAGAAATTGACCTCAGTTAGGTCCTTAACAAGAGACTACATTGGGACCAGCAGTTAGCTTAATGGCTATGTCGCTGAACTCTCATGTAGTCGACTGCAGTTCGAGTCCTGGACCCAGTGGCTTAAACTCATGCTGGGCACGTGTGCATGCATGCCCAAGATTCCAAGAGGAGAATGGAGAAGGGATTGTGGTATGGCCATCCCTTCTGGTGGACGATTTCTCGCTTTCTGTCTGTCTGGCGAGCGCACGCGCCCTATAGCAAAAAAAAACCTCTCCAAAAGAAAAGAGACTACATGAACTCTTTTCCCTCCTCATGATGAATTTTAGGAAAAACTGTCTGAAAAGGGGATTGGCAAAATAATTATAAAAATCAGGATAGCAGTTACCTTCAGAGGACCTATGTTCTGTAGTGTTACGATATTTTATTTCTTGACCTGGCTAGTAGTTACATGTGCATTTTCTTTATAATTACTTATAAATTATACATAGTTGCATACCTTTTTATACATGTTATATCTTAAAAAAAAAGAAAAACAAGGTTTTTTGTTTCGTTCTTTTGACCACAGGGTATGTGCATTCGCCAGGGAGAGACTAAGAGAGTGAAGGAAAGTGAGCAATCACCCTCTAGGGGTGATGGCCACACCACAATCCCCTCTCCATTCTCTTCTTGGGAATCTGGGCACACATGCACATGCACCCGGTGGGATCTTCAAGCTGTTGAGAGTTGAACCATGGTCGGCCACGTGGGAGTCCAGTGCCTTAACCACTATGCTGGCCCCCAGAAGTATTCATTTTTTTTTTTTGGAGAGGTTTTTTTGCTATAAGGCGTGTGTGCTCGCCAGACAGAGAGAGACATAGAGACAGAAAGCGAGAAATCACCCCCCAGGGGGGATGGTCACGCCACAATCCCTTCTCCTCCATTCTCCTCTCGGGATCTTGGGCACGCACGCACATGCGCCCGGCGTGAGTTTTAAGCCACCGGGTCCAGGACGCGAACCACGGTCGACTACATGGGAGTCCAGCGACATAGCCATTACGCTAACTGCTGGTTCCCCAGAAGTATTCATTTTAAAATAAAAGTATTTCAGGATATCTGGAACTGGTCTATTATATATAAGGGTCTACATGATCCCAAGTAGAGGTAAAGAGCGCTGAAAGTTCAAGCCACTTGCTGGAGAACTTCTGTTGCACCATGAAAGGAATATGGCTGGACAGAGGCCCGACTGCTCTGCGTGCAATGGCACACATGCACACACAGAGGAAGCAGTGTACGTGAAGCTGAAGTTGGTATTTATCATATTCATTCAAGAACACTCCAACCAGCCACTGAAAAATGACTCCATGAAGGGCTAAAATCACTCAATGATTATGACTATGAATGTTTCATAGTCACCTAAGTCAAAGCCACAGAGGTGCAAGTGTAAAAGATGTAAGACTATAAATAACATCAAAATGTAAAGTTAGAAGAACAATTTATTTTTTTTTTCCCTAAGACCAGAACTATTGGGGAAATGCAAAAACATATCTATGTCTTTTCCTTCCCCACATTCAATGAGCTTGGTGAGGTGGGGACAGAATAAGTACACTTTAAAAGATGTCTTCGAATAAAACTACAATTCACCTGGAGGTCCAATATCCAACTATCTGCCCCCTTTTAAAAAAATAAAAATCCAAATGGGATTTTGTTTTGATGTTTCAGACTGGGAACCCATATACAAAATACCATGATTACTTCCCCAAGCCAGAGTCCCTAATACTTTTTCTTCTAGGCCAAGTCAGCTATCTGGTTTTCTCTCTGCCAAACTAACCTTTGCTCGGGAAAGATTAGTTCCATCTGCCACCTCAAACTTTTCAGGAGCACCGTTTTTGTTTGTCACACCCAAAGTCCTTGCAAGAGAGTAGGGAGCATGTTGGGAAGTATAAGCAAATGAAAATCACAAGGCCATACATCAGTGTTAACAGTGGTTACCTCTAGGTGGTAAGGTCTCATATTCCTTGTTACCTTTTCTTCATTTCAACTTTTTTTTAATTGCCAGAGAGCAAATGAGAGAGACAGAATGCCCCAACAGCATGTGGTTAGACTGCAATCCCTTGCCTCTATCACACCGTCTGTTTAAGATTTTGGGCCCATGCACATGCACCCAGAGTTGTTTTTCAAGGGGCTGGAGGCCAGGATTCAAACTGTGTTGGCCATTTGGGATCCAGTGCCCATTGTGCAATGTATAACCACCAATCTACAGGGCTGGCCCAATCTTCTATACTGAAACAATAGTAGTAAAATAATAAGAACAAATTAATTTTAAAGATTAATGAGAATAGACACCCTCTGCTCTTGTCACCTCCTTACTTCCTCAGGAGCTAAGCACAAACCCTTGTCCCTCTTGATGGCTGTCTGGGAGAATGAGCATGGTGGCCCTGCCTGGCACCAAGGACATCTATCAACGATGGATGATTATGTGCTGATAATAACTGTGGTATTTTCAACAGGACTGGTATGAATGTATTCATGTTGGGCAAATTCACTTTACAAGCTGTAGTGACACACAGTGACTGAATATATAGAATAAAATTTTAAAGATTCCAACATTGGGGGAAAAAAAAAAGACACATGAAAAGGCCATGGCTTAGGACAGGCCAGGGCTTTGGGTGTACATTCTACTGAGAGCTGACCAGAAGAACTACTAGGGAAAAGCAAAAATACATCTAAGCCTTTTCCTTCCCACATTCAATTTAAGCCCTGAATCTCCACTTAAAGCAGTCACTTTTGATGCTTAGTCCTTCTTTTAAACATTTATTTATTCACTGTACAAAATATTTACATCATCAGCTACAACTGTCTGGCCTTTTGCCAACCTGACAAATCTGCAGCAGGACTTGGTCTCTGTCGATTTTCTGGAAACATGCCAACGCTCTCCATGATGTTCGTGTGATGCCTGGTCTCCTTCAAAAGAGACTCAAAGGCAAGAGGATGGCTGGCCCCTCAAGCATCTAGGCCACAAGGGCATAAATAAAAGAACTGGCCAAATTAAAAAACGTGAGTAGAAAAGTGCCCAAGAAATAACACTCTCCCTTCTTTCCAACACATTGTACCTTTTCCCCATGCTGGCTAGTACCAAAGGAGGATTTAAAAAGAAGGTAAAAGGACAGGCCAAAAAGAGCAAAGATACTTCTGAACAGAGTTAGGGAGAGAATAGAAAACCAGAATAGTCCCAAAGGGTTTGTTAAAGACTCATGTCCGAGGACCACCACAGTAAGGCAGCTGCCCCCATCCAGGCTGCAATGATACCTCAGATGCTCTGCAAAGGTGCAATGACTAGAGCTCAACATGACAGATCTTTGACCTCCAGTATCAGTCTCTGGAGGGCTGCTCGAGGGAATCATGCAGAATTCAGAAGAACGGCAGCCCCCAACAGCAGAACTAGGCCATGTACCCCTAGATAGAAACCACTATCTGGGCCCAGGAGGCAGCACCACGTTCCCCGGCGTGATGACTAAACTTTCCTGCATAATCCCATGGGAAAAAAATGGGGCAAGCAGCAGCACCTTGTCCTGGTCCCTGAGGAGAGCAGTGACCATGTGGCATGGAAGATCCTGGGGTCTAGAGGCCCTGTTGCTGGATCCCAGACCCCAAGGAGAGGTGAGGTCAGCAACCATGCCAAGAAAGGACAAATGACAACTGCGAAGGTTGAGGTCAGGCAGGAACTGTAGCAGCTCAGGAGGGTTTGTTCCCCATGATCCCTGGGAACAGGAGGGCTCAGACATGCTTCCAGGGGACCAAGGCATTACCACAAGTCCTGCCTCATCTCAGGACTCTGTGTACTTGCTGGTTTTGGCAATAATGATGGCTTGTAATATTCTCAGAGTTGAGTGCCCCACTGGGAATGGTAGTTTGGAGCAAAGCCTTCTTAAAAACAAAATTGGGAAGTCAATGAGATTTTGAGTTTGGAACTGTTTTCATTCAAACAGTAACAAAAAAGGATGCTGTCATCTTCCAAGACATAGCAGTGGGTTCTCTTCAGTCATCACCCAACAGTGAACCTAATATAGTTAACCTAATATAGCTTATTTCCCCTTACTGGTAACCAATATGGAGTGCAGGGAAGTACCTAGGAAGGCTAGGGTTTACTGTCTAACATACCTCCTCCATGTGTGTCCCCAGGGTCCTGACCCCAGGGAGCATGTAAACTGACCCCTGTTCTCTTGCCTCAGTGCTGCCATGCAAAGACAGAATCAGGGATCACTGGCATGCTAATCCTTTGCTACAAAATGTTCTTGAGTAGAATTTCTAAGAATCCTAGCTCTTAGCAGACAGCATAACTTGGAGGCCAGTGGCCAGGCCCAGCCACACACTGGTGCAAAGAACAAGCTCCAGGGAAAGTGTCAGTAGTCCTTAAGCCAGTCATGTACCTCGGCATGCCCCACGACCCTCAGGGAAGATCATGTTCAGCCCTGGAGACTCTAGCCCAGTTGTCCTTCACATTCTTGGGTCTGTATGCTTTATTCACTGGCCCAAGTGCAAGAAAAAGCTTAGAGAGTTCTTCTTTATGGATTAATGACCATTTCCAGAAATGCCTGCAAGGAAAAGAACCTTTCCCTTTCCTAGTTCTGACACCACAAAAAAAAAAAAAAAAAAAAAAAGGAAAAAAAAAAAAAAATTTTTTTTACCTCACACCCTCACCA